AGTTTGAGGCTCTATCTCAAAAAATAAACAAATAAATAAATAGTATGTCCAGCTAATTATTATAAGCTGATTTTCTGGAATTTTATAGATAAACAATCACATTGCCTACAAAATAAAAATTTCTAGTAGTTTCCCATTCTCCAAAATATAAATAAAAATTGAGGTACAGAGCAGTGTGCATAGTATGCTACCATACTAGTAAAAAAGTGTTTATATGTGTGCATGTGTATCCAATATTAAAATATTTCTGGAAGGATGATAAACACTTGATTCATATTTTAGAGAATAACACCCATCAATCTATGAAGAGTTCCTTCATTTTCTTAACAGTTACATAGTATTCTACTTTATGAGTACTCCATAAATTCCTTATCTAATCTCCTACTAAAAGACATTTCAATTGGTTCTAATTTCTTAATTTTTCTTTTCTTTTCTTTTTTTTTTTTTTTTGAGACAGACTCTCAAGCTATCGCCCTGAGTAGAGTGCTATGACATCACAACTCACAGCAACCTCCAACTCTTGGGCTGAAGCGATCCTCTTGCCTTAGTTTTTTTCTATTTTTAGTAGAGACAGGTTCTTGCTTTTGCTTAGGCTGGCCTTGAATTTGTGAGCTCAAGCAATCCCTGGCCTGCCAGGGTGCTAGGATTACAGGTGTGAGTCACTTCGCCCTGGCTAATTTCTTACTACTATAAACAGTTACAATGAAGAATATTCTTTTACATATGTGAATAGACCTGTATCTATATTCTAACAAATGGAACTGCTTGGTCAAATAGCACATGTACTTATAACTTTGACAGATCAAATGTTTTTCTATTTTTTTGTTCTTTTTAACTTACCACATTTGTAAGAAATGCTGGTTATGAAAAATTATTTTATTCTTAATGCCCCTAGGTGTCACTATAACTCACCAAATAAGTCATATTATAAAAAACTTATGAATCAAGTAGTCCTTCTAAAAATTTACTTTTTATGTAAATCATTTATATAAACACTTTTTTACAGAAAAAAAAATCTATATCTTTTATATACATCACATATTAAAATAATCATACCCAATTTCTGAAGTTTGTCCCATATTCGATGAGCAAATTCTGTTCTCTCTGTGAGCGTTAGTTCAGGCAGGAGAGAACCACAGCTACGTAGCAAAAGCAAGGCTTGATTACCACCTGGGCTACCTACGGAAAAAAGTTAATGAAGAATATTTAACACAGTACCAATATTATATAGATAACAATCAATATTTAAACTAATCTCTAGAAATAGTCAAAATTCTTCTGGCTCACTAAACATAATATTAACAGTATCCATACATAAGAAAAAGGCTAGTCTAATGCACAAGTACTAAAAGTTACAAGTTAAATTTTTTATATTAGTCTGCTTGCTTAAGTTGACTTGCTTATTAACAAATCTCTATTAGGTAACGAAATCTATGTTATCTATAAGATTCTACTGAATGCAAAAATACAATGAACCTAATTTATAACCAATGTTTGCTGCAGTTCAAAGTCTAAGCTTCCCAGTATCTTATGAAAATAGAAAAAACAATATAAGTATCAAGTTTAGGTTTACAATCAGTTACAAAATAACATAAGCTTCCTTTTTCCTATGTCCATAATTTTTATTAACATGACTTTCAAACAAAATGAAAGTAAATCACTTACTATATAATTCTATTTATATAAACTATATATTATAGAACAGACAACAAATCTACAGGGACAAAAAATTACTCTAGTAGTTGCCTGGGACTGGAAGGGAGTGGTGGATGCTGATAGCTAGCGGGTACAGGATTATTATTGGGTACTGATAATGTTCTAAAATGGACTGTGGTGACATCTGAATAACAGAATAAACCTGAGAGAACCCATGCCTGCAGTCCCACCTACTCAGGAAACTGAGGCAAAAGTATCACTTGAGCCTAGGAGTTTGAGGTTGCTATGAGCTATGAATGCACCACTATACTCTAACTAGCAACAGAGTTAAACTCTGTTTTAAAAAAAAAAAAAAGCCAGAGAGAGAAAATAATATAAGTCTTCAAATGCGGATGGTGCCTGCGGCAGCCCCATATACCAAGAATGGCAGGTTTGAACCCGGCCCCGGCTAAACTACAACAAAAAATAGCCAGGCGTTGTGGCAGGTACCTATAGTCCCAGCTACTCGGGAGGCTGAGGCAAAAGAATAGCCTAAGCCCAAGAGCTGGAGGTTGCCATGAGCTGTGATGCCACAGCACTCTATCCAGGGTGACAGAGAGACTGTCTCTAAAGAACAAAAAAAACAACAACCAAAAAAAGTCTTCAAATGCATGTAATTATAGTTATAACTTTTGATAGCCATCATCATCAGATTTTATAGCTCTGCTTCTTAATATAACTGAAATCCCTGAATGGGCCTCAGGAAGCTAATGAATCCTCTTAAACTACATATAAATGATGTATGTTTACATATGGGCTGGGATAGGGGGGTGAGGGACCTACAGCTTCCATTAGATTATTAACAGCATAAATGACCAAAATAGATTTTAGTAGCTAACTGAACATGAAAAATAACAAAAATCTGTCATATGTGACCATCTTAAGGAAAGCTGATACTATACGAATGGAAGGTAAGAAAAACTAGTATGGCCTGGTGTGGTGGCTCACACTTGTAATCCTAGCACTCTAAGAGGCCAAGGCAAGTTGGATTGCTTGAGTTCACGAGTTCAAGACAAGCCTAAGCAAAAGCGAGACCCCGTCTCTACTAAAAATAGAAAAACTGAGGCAAGAGGATTACTTGAGCCCAAGAGTTGGAGGTTGCTGTGACCTATGACACCACAGCACTCAACCTAGGGGAATAGCTTATGACTCTGTCTCAAAAAAAAGAAAAGGAAAAAAAAGAATAACTACTATCTTCCATGATTATTTATCACTGAAGTGACCCTTTTTCTATAAACAATGGAAAGCAAGAAGACAGTTTTTATTTGCTGATTCTGAAATAAACATCTAAAAAATGTTTTAAGAGATCATAACCATAGCATTATGATGACATGCTGACAATCAACAGACTGTAACAAACAAAATTTAAAGCATCAAAAAATATACTCTGTAAAGACCTTATCCCCAAACAAGTACTTATTAACAAAGTCAACTTTTTGAACAGAAAATTGTGAAATACCTGAGCGGCACGTGCTATCAAAAACTTTCTGTAGAAGAGTCTTTGGAATGCGACCAGTTCTTCGGACAGAATTATCTAGTCTCATTAGAGCCCAATCAAATGGACTGACAGCCCTTTTAAAAGAAGTGGGCTCCTCTCGAATATCTTTCTTTTTTTCAGCAGCAATAGCATACAGCCTGGCTGGGTGTAGTAGCCCTCTACAAAATGAAACATAATAAAGCACGAATTACTAATTAATAAACAAATCACCTGCTACCAATATAGGTCATCCTTTTAGGCAAAACTTACACAAATTTTTTATTAGTTATTAAAGACCTAAAATTATAGTGCAACATCAAAAACAGAGAAGTGGCTTGGCGCCGTAGCTCAATGAGTAGGGCACTGACCACCTACACCAATGCTGGCGTGTTCAAGCCCAGCCCAGGCCT